CAGACAGCGCCAGGCCAGAGGCCACGCGCGCACACTACTACGAGTACGTTCCGCAGTACAGCTGCTCGCGGGGCATCACGCGGCGATGGACCGCATGCCGCCATGGGCTCGGTCGCCCAGCCGCGGCCGCCCACGCTCCAAGCGCGGCAGCGGCGGCAGCGGCGGCAGCGGCGGTGGATGGTTTTGTCAAAAGTGTTGCACACACAACGGTGGTCGATGGTGCTCGTGGCGTTATCCTTCGCAGCGGTCGAGTGTGGGCAGGACGCCGTCATCTCCCGGTTCCTCGTCTCAGCAGACGCAGCCTTCGTCCCCGCCAGTCGCAGGAGGAGATGCAGAGACCCTTGCCACGCGTCAGCGATCAGAGTCCAAGCTGCCAGCTCCCAAGGCACCAGTGGCAGTGGCAAGTCTCGAGGTGGCCCGAGTGCATCCAGTCTGGGTGGATCCTCATGCCGCTGCTGCAGACCGTGCCCAACACACAGTTCATCTGAAGGAGGCCATCACTTGTATGGAGCAGGGAATGTCAGCACAGCGGTCGTTACAGTCATATTCGGCTCAGTTGCAGGCCCTCGAGCTCGAGTTGAGCGTGTTGCAGTTCATGGATGTGTACGCGTACCCCACCAAAGGACGAGCTGCCAACCAACGTGCATATGTGCAGCGGGCCGAAAAGAGGCTCGAAGCAGCAGAGCAGAAGGAGAAGTCGGCAGCATCAGCCCTACAAGCAGCATCTGCTCATCGCAGAACTCTTGCTGAAGATCTCCTTCAAGCGAAGTCAGCATTGGTGCAGTTCCACGAGATGACCGAGCAGGGGATCCAGTCAGTTGTCTTCGTGGAGACGGCCGAGTCCCCGTTCAATGAAGTCCGCCCCAACCCATTCCTGCCCGCGAGCACGTCGTCGCCGTCGGGTCCGAATCACCAGTGCCCCAGCAACCCCAGCACCTTCCTGCTTGAGACGGCGCTCAACCAGCAGCGCAGCTCCCACAGGTCATCGCAGAGATGCAGGCGTCGCATCTCACGTTGGCGGTGCATACGAAGATGCTGACATATTCTCTCGTCGAGGTCGAGAGCAGCATCTCCACCCTCGTGATGCACCAGTCGGGGCCCTCCACCGCCGAGCCCCCGCTCGAGACGGTTGTGGGCGTTGCAGCAGCCGCAGCCAAGTCAGCAACCTCACGTGCGAAGCCGATGGCTCAGAGGCGCCTGGAAAACGTGGCACCGGGCAGTGGCCAACTTGCCTGGCCAGGTCAAGCTAGTGGCTGCTCTGTCCTCGTCATCGGCGGCACCTGCAGCAGCGCCCGAGGATGTCGACAGCGAGACGGAGCCCCCGCGCAAGTCCTTGCGCCTGCCTCACGATCCCGAGGCGGCGGTGGCACATGTGGCGGGCGACGACAGCGACGGCGCCATGAAGGGCGTCACGGCTCGCGGCGAGGGCCCAGCATCCGTGGAGGCGAGTTTTCGCTCGCCCGGAGTGAGGTGCAGCAGGCGAATGCAGGCCTCGGGTCGCCTCAACTCGCCCACTCGGGGTGCACCACTACCTCGTGCCCGGGCTTTACTCAGGACGACAGGGGAGCCTCCACTCCTACTGTTCGAGGCGGTTTGCATAGCCCGCTCCCGTTCGACACTTCCATCGAGGCCTCATCCACCGTCTTTTGTTTCCTTGGGAACAGGATCTGCCCAGGCAGTATTGGTCGTTGGTAAGTATTGGCATTTTACTACCGTTGCTGAACTACCGTGCCTCAGTACGCGGGAGTCTCGGGGGATGTTAGTCGCATACATATTTACAGTGATGGCTCTGGGGATGCCAAAGGTGCTGCTGGTATCGGACCTCCTGCATGGTCCTTTGCTGCTTTTTCTGCGATGATCGCGATCATGGGGCTCTAGCAGGGTACCTCGGAAGTGCACTGGACAGTCATGATTTCGCCAGCACGTTGGCTCCGTTGACGTCTGGAATACATACGGCCCAATGGGCTTCGGCGTGGTTCCTGCAATCTCCTTGTCTGGATTGGGATATTCCAGTGGCCGTCTGTGGGGATTGCGTGGAAGCTCTTAGGGTTGCCTCAGGGGGAGCTCTTTCTCGAACGCTCTCGGGGTCCCGCGCCGCGCTGGACTCGCCCGCCAAGATCGTCGGTGCCAGGGCCCCCAGCCTCCAGTGGGCGCACGTCGAGGGCCACTCTGGGCATCCCTGGAACGAGTTGGTCGACGCGATTGCTCATCTCGCCTCCGTTCGGCGCGGGCGGCCACCTGTGCCCGGCCACTTTTGGTGAGAGGCGATATCGGACACGAGTGCGTTACGATGGGTCTGTTTTTTTTTCGCCGCCAGAGGATCTTGCGCAGCGTCCCCCGCCTGCAGGACGCCAGCTGCTACGCTGCGTCCCTGAGGCGAGACCAAGTGATAGCTTGGCGGCCGTGTTAGGCGCGGACGCGGCCACTCAATCCTCTGCCCCTGCCGTTTCCACGCCTCTCTGGTTTGTTGCTGCCGACGCTTTGACTTTGGACTCTCAGGCATATGGGCGGGCCTCTGGTAGGCGAAAGACAGGGCTGTACGTGTCAGGACGCATGAAATATTTGGGATCAGTTTACCAGGCATAAGTTGTCCATGGTTGGGACTGTTGAAACCAGGCTTCCTCGCAGTGGAGTTTCGACCGCTGGCAAATTTCACGTTGTCCATGCTTAGTGTGCAGCAGATGGGAGGTATGGGTGTTCACTGTGGGTCAATGCCGACATTCCCGTCCTTTCCTCCACTCTCGTGTCGCCCATGCAGCGCCGTGCGATGCATGCCGCTCCTCGGCTGCTGGTGGTGGCCATTGCAGTTGGCTGCTGTCGTCTGGGCGTTGTCGCCGGGCACGCGCCTCGCAGCAAGGCGTCGTCTGCGAATGCCCAGCAATAGTGGGGACGCTGTATCGATGTTGTGGCCAGGGTCCGTACTCCGGGGACTGAGCTCACCAATCTTCTGGATGCCAATTCGCGTCTGGGGTCCACTCGCTCCCGCCGCATTGGTGGCGTCGCGGCTGCGGTGGAGAGCTTCCCAGGACAGTGTTTTCACGGGTACTTGGCTAAACTTGACCTGTGGAACCGTCTACGTTTTTGGACTCTGGCCAGCACTCTACGAGCACTTGGTCTCCTCTTGGTCGGCTGCAGAGTTTGGGGCACAGGCTTGGTTGCGCCTTGTGCTCCAATGGAGTGGAGGTGATTCAGCAGCGCGTTATTGCTATGGTCGACTTGTCCATCAATGTGCTGGATCGCCTGCCTGTTGGCGTCCTTGCGCGTATTCCTACGTCATCCACCTGTCTCCGGTCAGGCACTGAAGGTCAAGTGTGGTCCCGACGAGGTCTCGAACCCTGAAGCTCGTTCGCAGTTTCGGTCGCTTTTGAATTCTGGACCCCCACGTGTACCTGAAGGAGTCTCTGGAGTCCTCGTTCCCACCCAGGGCTACCCCGAGAGGCCGCGTGCCCCGACAGTCTTGTGTATCTGAGGGTTCTCTTCAGGCCGTGGGTAATCGCGCGGTGCACCTGCGGAGCTACCGCGAGCTCGCGGTGCTCTTTCAGCGCATGCGTCGGGCTATTATGTTACGCGCATGGTTCCTTACCTCTGCGCGGCGCCTGGCGCTGCCGCCGCCTCAGCTGCTCGCGCATCGCTGCGAGAAGCGTGCGTCGTCCCAATCAAGGTTGGCTTCGCCGCCCCCGATCGATCCATAAGGTTACGCAGTCGATCTTTCGATCTCTCGAGGACACCAGGCACGAGGCTCGTCAACTAAGGCTCCGTCGCACCCAGGGCAAGTCCTGGCTCCCCTGGGGTTTACTACAGGGGGGTCGCAGTTCTTGGGAGGAGATTTCGATGCCTTCCACGGCTACTTCACTGGTGTTTTCGCGCTGAGCGAGAGGGGTCACATCGATTCCTCCTCGGTTTGCTTAGGGCACGACCGTAGTTGGCGCTCGTGCTTACGCATGGGCGACCTCGCCTCCTGTTTACGTGTTATGGACTTGCACCGTTGCGCCACAGTGGTGAACCAGTCCATCATGCTTGATGTCAAGCAGCGCGTGGCTGACCTTGCTGCAGAGGTTCCCGGTGCGTGGTCCTGTCGAGATTGCAAGATAACGTTTGCGAAGTTTTGCGCGATGGGCGCCTGTTCTCGCCGCGGGCCCCCCTCTCGGCCTCTTCCTCTGTTGCGCAGGCAGGGCGGCCAGCGACTCCGTCAATGTATACAAGTTGCGGACTCTTAGGTCGAGCATCTTGGCATGGGGGAGGCGGCGCCAGTGGTGCCTGTTTCCGATTTGGATTGTTTTTTGTTGGTTTCTTTTTTTCCGTATTTTGTCCTCATGATCTCTCGGAGTTTCCCCCGAGGTCCTCATGAACGTTCCGATGGCCGCTGGCCAGATTCCTTCCTTGGGCGATTTGGAAATATCGCGCAGGAAAGCGAAAGTCCCGGCTCCAGGGCCCGACGGGTTCTTTGGCAAGATTGTTTCTACGTTTGCCGTTGAGCTGGCCCGATACATGCATCCTCTCTTGGTTGAAGCTACTGTTCGCGTCGCTGAGCCCATCCAATGGAAGGCAGGCTTTTTCTGGTCCCTCCTTAAGTCTGGGGACGTCTCTAAGCATGCTTTTCACCGTTCTATCATGGGCTCCCCCCATTTCGGCAAACGGCGTCGCAGTATCATCCGGGGGGGTATTACTCGGGCCCCAGAGGCTGTTGCGGGGGGGCGTCAGTACGGAGGCCCCCCTGGCAGAGGCACTCAGTTTTGGGCTCTCGAGCTGCGTCTCTTTCAGTAGCTGGCCGAGGCGCGCGAGGCATCAGTGTTGCCAGCATTTCTTGACGCGGCGCAAGCTTACTACAAGTGCGTGCGGGCGCTAGTCATGGACGCGGCTCGCGATGGCTTTTTCACTGGCGTTGCTGTTGTGGGCTGGCGGGCCCCCGCCAAACGCCGTGGCAGAGTTGCCGGGGCATGTCGAGCAGCGTCCCCCTCTCCTCGTCTGCAGTGGAGTTCCCCCCCTCCGCCGTGCTTAGATCGCCGATGCATGCAATGGGTCGTGGTCTTATGTGCTTCGCGCTTCCAGGGTTGCGTTTCCCGTGATGGGCTCGGGCCCTGGCCGGCAGCTCGGGGGCGTCGTTTTCAGCTTCGCCATGTCGTCCACGACGCAGTCGGTGTTATCTCGCCTCCTACCGCTCGGCATTGTTCTTCGCGCCCCGACTGCTGCGCGCGCTTCGCTCGCCAAGTATGCTGCTGAGGACGCGCCCACCCGCGCGGCGCACTCTCTCGAGGGCGCTCTCTTTGACGACGCAGCGTTCTTTCTGCGCGGCAGAACTCAGCAGCTGCTCGCCACTGCTCCGGCACTGGCGGCAGAAGTCGCGGGCCTTCCTGCTGATAAAGGCTTTTGCATGAACGCCAAGGTTGGCAAATCGGTGTTTTTTTTTGTTTTTCCAGTTTCGGGGCGTGGGGCCACGCGTGCAAGGGAGACCCTGTGGTCCGATTTAGGCGGCATTTTCCAGGTCCCTACGGAGATGGCGGGTGCTCCACAAATCCATGCCGTTCATCAGTACACCCACCTTGGTACTACACAAGATGAGTACTGTTCCATGGGCCCTGAGCTGGCTCCTCGGTCGCAGTCGCGTGCCAGTGCCTGGACGTGCTTACGGCGACGCATTCTTCGCCGGCCATGTATATAACCAGAGACAGCTATCGTCCGGCTCGATTCTCTGGTCTGTTCAGGCAAACTATTTCAAGAAAGCGCGTGGGGATATCTCTCGGCCGCGCAGTTTCGAAGCCGGGAGGACAGCGTGGCGCGATATTATCGGACTAACGCCAAGCAGCCTCGCAGAGACCCCTCGGCGCTCGACAATTTGGATGTCTCGGGTGAAGTTCCCAGGCCCCCCCTGGGGGCCCTATTAAGCGCTCGACGTCTTCGGCTATACCGTCGGCTTCTTATACGCGGCCACGTTCATATTCTGGCTCTGGCTACGACGTGCAGGATGGAATGTCATAGGTCTTGGGGACATCAAATGGTTGAAGATTTGCAGTGGGTTTGGACGTTTCATGCTCAATGTCATCTCCTCCCTGACCCCTTCGAGGACCTTCGCATTTGGGAAATGCTAATTCGACGTTCAGCCCCGGCGTGGAAGAACATCATCAGATACATTCTCGCAGCACATGCCAGACATGTTCGCCGCCTTGCCCTTGCGAGCGCTGCTGAGCACGCTTTTTTTGACGTGCTGAGAGATGCTGGAGCGCCGCGTGCAGTTGCGGACCCTGAGCATCCGCTCCGTCGGGCAGAGGCCGAGGAGCTGCAAGTTTGGAAGTGTCTCTGGTGTGGAGTTACTTATGATCGTGTTGGCAAGCTTCGTTCGCATGCTATTCGGAATCAACGCTCTCGGGCTTCGCTTATTCGTCGTTTCCTCGTCTCGGATCTGGAGTGTGCTACGTGCGGCACTGCGTTTGCACATCGCTCCGCACTGGTGGCGCACGCGTTGCTCGATTACCCCAAGTGCGCGCTTGGCCTTTCATGGTCGGGCAGACAATGCTCTCAAGAGCAGGCAGACGCACTGAACGAGACAGAGTCTCGCCGCAATGTGCAGCAAATCCGATCAGGTCAAGGCAGATGGCGGGTGGCAATTCCAGCGTCAAGGCCATGCGGCAGTTCTCTCGGCGGAGTTAGCGAGTTTGCTGAGTTCTATTTCTGATGACCAGGCCAAGGAGATCATGTGCGGGTCGGGTTACTGTATTGAGGCTTCTTTGGTTTCGGACTTCCTCGGCATATTCAAGTTGCGTGTGTCTGATCTTCCTTCTCTCATGGTGGGCCTCCCCTTTCTACCCTTCTCGTGTTGGTGACTATCCGGGAGTCGCCGCCGAGGCTATGCCTATCCGTATCCGCCGGCCAACTGGCTTTGCCTTGCACTTGTTTAGCGGCCAAGGGAGACGTGGGGATCTGCAGTGGCAGCTCGATAATCCGTTTGTGCTTCCTAGTGTAGAGGTGCTCATGCTTAGTATTGACATCGCCATCGATCCGATCAGGGGCGACCTCGCGAGGGACGGGGCTAACTTGAATGGGCCGAACACATGCGCGCGCATGGAGTTTTCAGTGCAGGAGGGGGGCCCCCCTGCGAGACTTGGTCAGCTGCCAGATGGCAGGAGGGCCCCCCCTCTTCTCAGGTCGACTGACTACGTTTGGGGTGTTCCGTGGTGTGCGGCTCGACAGTCTGAACTGCTGAGAATGGGTGGCATGTTTTTACGCGTTATAGTTCGTCTTATGGCGGAGCACCTCCGCGCGGGGACGGGGGCCTGGATGGGGCACCCTGCTCCTGCTCTCTGGGCCCTAGGGCCCCAACTACTTTTCGGTGGCCCCCTCTCGCGGCGGCCGCCTCTGGCTCGTGCGCGGCCGCGCGTGTGTTTGATCAGTGCGAGCGCCAGGCCCCCGACTCAGACCCCGCGTCCTTTGGGGAGGCCCCCACTCGTATAGTTAGTATTCGAATGCCCACGTTGTACAATGAGCTTCGCAATGCTCCTGGCCAGGGAAAATGCTTCCACGGCCCCGGTGCCCACCGTTGTCTCCCTGGGAGAGATGGCCCGGGCCGTTTTTCATTGCGCCCAAGAAGATGTATCCTCCTGGGACGTGTCTAACGATTGCCAAAGGCATCAGTACCAGCGTGCTCCAGGTGTGCGCAGAGTCGACCAGCAGCCAGGCAGACGGCAGGCTTTCGGAGGGAGCTGCCCTCGTCGAGTGCGAGATTCGGGATGTTTATGTCTCGTGGGAGGGCCCCTCCTCCTCTGCCCCCCCAGACCCCAGTCTTCAGCCTGACTTTGCTGGGGCCGCGGGTCGACGCCGAAGGCGACTGCGCGTGGGCGCTGATTCGGAGAGGTTTACGGAGTCTGAGTCGGAGGTTGGGGCGGAGGAGGAGGATCCCCGTTGCAGTGGCCCTCCTACGAGCTCCCATTTTGGGGGCACTTCGTTGGAAGTTGAAGCCTCAGACGAGCAGGCTTTCCTCGAATCTGCTGTGGAGGATCCTGCCGCCTGGGCGTTCGGTTCTTCTCCTGCTCCCTTATGTTCCCCTGCCCCCCCTTCCCTCTCCCGCCCGCCCCCCCTCCCGCTCGCCGCGCCCAGAGACAGAGAGAGCGGATCGCCGCTCGTCGAGGAGAGGCCAGGCGCCGACGCGCGGCCCGCCGCGCCGCCGAAGCGGCGGCCCGCGCCGTGCCTGTGTCGCTTTCAGGTTTGTTCGACAATCCTGTTGTTCCTCGCCCAGCAGGCCCCGTCGCCGATCCGTTTCAGGTGGCCTGGCGCGAGGCACTCCTTCTTTGATTATGTGGTATTGTGATTTTGTCTCTCTTACTTCTCTGCTGTCGCATTGTGCACAGCAGGTATAAGAGTGCCAGTTGAGTTGAGGACGGCGCGCCGCCGTTCCCATCGTTCGACGACGACGACCCCTTGCCTTCGCCGTCCTCCCACCTCCCTCGTGTCGCAGCTGCATTGTCGACTTGCTGTTAGTAGCACGAGTCTGCCTACTGCATGTTGGCTTGTGCTGTGTTCTTGGTTTGCTTAGCGACCTTTTAATTAGCGATGTTGTTATGCCACCCGTTGCGTCTTGCGTGCAAGAAATATCCAGCAGTTTCCTGCAATTCCGCCACCGTGCCAGCGCAGCCCTTTGGGTGGCAACTACCCCCAGGGATACGCCATGGCCGCTGGGGGACCTCCAGGAGTAGGGGTGGTGCACGCAAGCGGACGTGACGTGAGTGGTGGGTGGGTCGCTTGGAATCCGGCAGAAACCCTGCCAGGCAGCACTTGGGCGACGCAGAAAAACAGGGCCGTCTTCACCGACGCTGGCGCGTAAGCTGCGTGCGTAAGGTCGCGCGTGCGCGCCCTCGTTTCAAATGCAGCGTGCCGCGCTGGCGGCCCGCGTGAACTGCGGCGTGAGGTCGCCATGATATCTTGCGGCAAGGCCGTTTCTTTTCGTCGTTCACTTTTGCATTCTCCCATGCCTCAACGTGCCAGGGGGTTCGGCGGCGGATTGCGAGGGTGTTTCTTCAGCTCGTCCTCCATCTCTATCTCATCGTGCTTGTGCTGTGCTTCCCTTCCTCCTCGTTGCCCTCCTCCCCTCGCTGCCCTCCCCGTCGTCGACGCCGTCCTCTTCGTCATCCGCCGCCTTGTCGCCGCCGTCACATTTCACCCTTTCTTCATTCCCCCCCCATACGAGGCCAATCAACAAAATCGTAGTTCCCCCCCCTTGTCCGATCAGTCTGCGAAGTTTTTTTTTTTTTTTTTTTTTTTCCTTTTTTTGTTTCTTCTCTTTCCTGCCCGTTGTGGGCAGTATGTGCGTCTGGACTTTCTTGGACGGGACGCCTCGGCTTCGCAGACCCCCGACGTCGTGTTTGTTCACAACATCGACCCCCAGAGGTCTGGACCCATTCCTGTGGACCGGCTTTTCGTCCTGAGTAGTTTTTCGACGGTCCCGATGCCCAGTAAGGGCTCCCGGAGGCCGAAAGTAGCGAAAAAACCTCCCGCCGTGATTTTTTCACAACGCAAGGTGGTCCGGGTTTTTAGGGAGGGAAGCCCGAACTTCTAAGTTGCAGCGGATCTGGACAGAAGCACTGGCCTGATGTCGGGCATGTCCTTCGAAAGACGGAATATTCATGAATAGTCCAAACACAGACTTGTGACGATATGTTTCAACTATTTGTTGACTACTGGTGGATATGGTTTGACTCTTATCTGGCTTTTTCGCCAAACTCCGCCTGTAGGAGGACATGTTATAAGGAAAATCCTGGAGGCCTCGCGCGGCGCGTAATGGTAGTATGATCGAGTGCACACGTCAGTTCCGTGAGCTATGGGTCGACGTAAATCCGACGTAGTCCGACGTGAACCCGAAGTAGATCCGACGTGGACCGACGTAAATCGAGTCTAAAGTTGCCGCGCGAGGCTTTCAGGATTTCCCTCATAAGACATGCCCGATCTAACACTGGCCGCACCCCGCTGCTCAGGAGGATGGCGGCCTCGACCCGACGCTGGTTGAGGACCGGAGGCGCCTGCGGGGGCGCGAGCGGGGGGGGGGGCAGTTGGCGGGGGCCCTTCCGACCTCTCCAGGGGGGGGAAGGGGGCGAACGGGGGGAGGGAGAGGAGGATGACGGAGGACGGACAGCGAGAAGGAGGGAGGAGGAGGAGGGAGGAGGAGTAGAGAGGAGGGAGCAGGTAGGATGGAGGAGGGAAGAAGGGAGGAGGGAGGAGGGAGAGGGAGGAGGGAGTAGGAGGAGGGACGAGGAAGGGGAGGAGGGAGGAGGGAGGAACTGCGGAGGAGGAGGAGAGGAGGAGGAGGAGGAGGAAGATGAGGGAGGAGGGAGGAGGAGGAGGAGGAGGGATGAGGGAGGAGGGATAGGTGAGGGAGGAGGCATGGGGATGAGGAGGAGGAGGAGGAGGAGGAGGAGGAGGAGGAGGAGGAGGAGGAGGAGGATGAGGAGGAGGAGGACGAGGAGTGGAGGTGGAGGAGGAAGGAGAGGAGGAGGAGGAGGATGAGGAGGAGGAGGAGGGGCAGCTAAGAAGGAGGAGAGGAGGAGGAGGAGGAGGAGGAGGAGGAGAGGAGGAGGAGAGGAGGAGGAGGAGGGGAGGAGGAGGGTGGGAGGAGGAGGAGAGGAGGAGGAGGAGTAGGGATGAGATGGAGGATTAGAGGAGGAGAGGAGGAGAGGGAGGATAAAGAGGAGGAAAGGATCAGGAGGATGCGGAGCAGGAGAGAGACGAGAGGGGTGGAGAGGAGGAAGGGAGCAGGAGGGGAGGAGGGTAGGAGGAGGAGGAGGAGGAGGAGGAGACGAGGAGGAGGAGGTAGGAGAGGAGGAGGAGGAGGAGGAGGAGGAGGAGGAGAATAGGAGAGACGGAGGAGAAGGGAGAAGAAGGAGGAGGGAGGAGGAGGAGGGGGAGGAACAGGAGAGGAGAGGAGGGGGAGGAGAAGGAGAGGAGAAGTAGAAGGAAAAGGAGAAAGGAGAAGGAGAAGGAGAAGGAGGAGAGGAGTGAGGAGGAGGAACAGGAGGAGAGGAGGAGGAGGAGGAGGAGGAGGATGAGGAGGAGGAGGGAGGAGGAGGCGAGGGGAGGAGGAGGAGGAGGAGGAGGAGGAGGAGGAGGAGGAGGAGGATGTGGAGTAGGCGGAGGAGAAGGAGTAGAAGGGAGGAAGAGGATGATGAGGAGGAGGAAGGGGAGGAGGAGGAGGAGGAGGAGGAGGAGGAGGAGGAGGAGGGCCCAAGCACAAGCATCTGGAGCCTGCGCAGCTTGAGAAGATCGTGCGCATGTCCAACGACGACTTTGAGGTGTGCAAAAAGCTTCTCTCGCCTTCCCAGCGCGCCAGAGTCGTGGCTCAGCGCGCTCTCGCTGCTGGCGACCCTCGTGCTGTTCAGCGTCATGCGCAGTCTGTGCTGGACGAGCTCAAGAAGCAGATCGGCCACGTATCAAAGCATATTCAGAAGGTCGAGTCTGATATGCAGAGCAAGGTTTTGGAGCTCGTCAAGCTCAAGGACAACCTCACGTCGCTTGAGGGCCAGGAGCGCGTCGCCTCCGCCAAGGCCTCGGCGGCATGGGCACAGTGTGCTGCTGGTGGTGCGGGAGTGGTCGATGCCTCTGGCGCAGCGGTGTCGGCCGACGACCCCGCCTTCGCGTTGCTCATGCAGTTCCAGTCTTTGGACGCGGACTTGGCACGCTTGCTCCGCTCGTTGTTGGAGACGCGAGATTCGCTTCTGCCTCCTGCTCATCCTGATGACGAGGCAGTCACCGATGACGGCTACGAGTCCGACGACCTGGACGACCTCAGTGGCGACGGTGATGCCATGGAGGGCGCCCCGCCTGGAAAACCGCGTGCCGAACCCGCTCCAGCCAGCGTTCGTGATGTGGAGGCTGCTGCGCTGGCAGTCTTTGGTCGACCGCCATCTGAGTCCCCGTTTGCGCCTGGAGCCTCGCCTGTTGCCTCGCTTCGTGGAGGGGGGGCGGGTTTGGACGTGGGGCGGGGACGGGATGGGACTGGGGCAACGTCGGCCTGTGCAGGCCCGCCGCCCGCAGCTCGTGTGCTCTCAGGATTTCCCAAGAAGCTATCCACTGAGCAAGGTTTCAATGCCTTCCTTGCCCAGCACAAGATTCGGCGCAAGCATGCGGAAAACATTCTTGGGGGTATCAACTCGGCTGCGCAGAAGTAGTTTCGGCTCGCTCCCTTCAGTGAGCGAGACGGCGCGTCCAGCAGCCCCCCGTCCAAATCCTAGTGCTGGCCACGCCAAGGAGTGGGCCCTGATCACCGCCAATGTTGGAGGGCAGACCGGGCTAGACGCTTACTTGGGCGAGTTCATTGCTTGTGACGTTCTCCTCGTGCAGGATACCAGGATCCCTGTCTCGTCGGCGGAGCCGACTGATGCGCGCCTCCGTCAGATTGGCTGGCCTGCCTCTCTCACGGCCGCACTGCCCACGCTCGGCAACCCCACTGGCGGGCTGATCACGGCCACGCCCAAGAGGATTGGTCTTGGAGTGCTCGAGAGTGTCTCGCCTGTGCTGCAGCCTGCGCGCGCCAGTCTTCACCATGTGGGAGGGATGATTCGCGGTGGATTCCTGGTTGTGAACCTCTATTTGGTGCATTCCGTCGGGGTGAACGAGGTCAACTGGGACATCTTGTGCCGCGTCGGCAGGGCCCTCAAGGCAGCTGGCACAGCGTTCGTGATTGGTGGCGATTGGAATATGCATCACACTGGTCTTCAGCAGACTGGGTGGGTCGATGCCATGGATGCAGTCATTGTTGCTCCCGCTGGCGGTACGTGCCGCCCAGCCATGAGGTGCGTCGACTTTTTCGTCGTCTCGAGGGTCATTGCAGGTGCGGCCAGGGCGGAACTTGTTCAAGACATCCCCATTTCCCCCCATTACACTGTTAGGCTCGCCTTTCCCCGTATTGAGCCTATAGCTGATGTCAAGTTCGTTAAGGTGCCCAAACGGTTCCCTCTTGAGCGCCCCATTGGTTGCCTGGGGCCCCCTGTCGAGGGTAGGTGGGAGCCCCTTGCCGCGCTTTGTTCTGATCCTCACGCCTCGGTGCAGGGCGCATGGAACAGCTTCCTTCGTGCGGCGGAGGCCGAGTGGCTCTATGTCTTGCAGATTTCGGGGGAGCTTGCCGATGGGTATGTCGGAAGAGACCTGCCTTTGAAGATCCCTTCTAAGGAGCCTTTTTCGGCTTTCAGGTTTTCACCGACTCCCTTGCAGTGCCGTCTATGCCGCCTGGGCGGCAGTGTTGCGCCAGGCGGACATGCTGCTGCTGCTCTCGGCCAAGGCGCTGGCAGAGCTGGCGGACGTCCAAGCCAAGAGGCTTCATGCACAGTCGGCGCAAGACAAGGACAGGGAATTGAATCCATGGGTCGACAAACATTCTTCAGGGGGGATGTCGGCTTTGTTCAAGTTTTCCGCCCTCCCCATCGGTTGGCAGCCCGATGCCCTTGATCACCCCGCCCTTCGCCCCTGTTCGTCGGTTGAGTCGGTCGAGGCCCTGGGGGCCGAGTGGGAAAAGTGGTGGTCCGTGGGGCGCGTTAAGCCCCCCCTCGAGTGGCCTGACCTTGGAGTGCCGCCTGAGCGTCCCAGTGTTGATGAGCTCGTGCGGGCTCTCAAAAGCTTCAAGTCCTCTACTGGCACTGGTGTTGATCAAGTCTCGCCCCGTTCCCTTTTGCTTCTGCCGCCCTCTGCGCTGGAAGCCTTGTGCGAGATTATCTCGCACATTGAGCACAAGCGTGAGTGGCCTGTCATGTGGAACCGCATTGTGTTCATTCTCGAACGGGTGGGGGGTCTGAGACCGCTTGGGCTGCTCCATGTGTTGGCTCGTGTTCAACGTCGCCTGAGACGTCCTCTCATCAGGCAGTGGCAGGAAAGAAACTATCGTGCCTTCTTTTGGGGCACCCATGGGAAGTCTTCGGAGCGTTGCGTTTGGATTCGAGCTGCCTGGTCCGAACATTCGACGTTCAAAAATCGTAGCTGTGCCACGTTGCTTTTGGATTTAAAGAAGGCGTTCGAGCTGGTTCAGCACCGGCATCTTATCTCGGCTGCGCAGGCCACCAGTTTTCCATTGTGGCAATTGTACCTCCTGGTTCAGATTTATCGGGCCCCTAGGCTGCTGGATGTGGCTGGCGAGGTTGGTTCGCTGCTGGATGTTGAGCAGACCGTAGTGCCAGGTTGTACATTTGCCACTTGTATGCTTCAATTGGTGCTGCTAGGCCTTCTCGACGCTGTTCAGGCTTCTTTCCCGACGGTCCAGCTGTCGGTCAATGTGGACGACTTTGGCCTCATGAGATGGGGCGCGGAGTCGAGAGTGGTGCAAGACATCGTTGGTGCGGGTAAGAAGCTCCACAGTGAGCTCAAGGCCGCCGACCTTAGGATCGCTGTCGGCAAGTCCCGAGTGCTTGGGGACTCGCCTGCTGTTAGAGCCTCGATCGCTTCGAAGCTCCGTAGCCTCCAACCCCTGCCCGTTAGAGCTGAGAGAAACCTTGGCGTTGACTTGTCCTCCGGGCTCGCTGGAGGGGGCGAGGCTACGTCCGCCTCCCGTGCCAAGGCCATGGGCAGGAGGCGGCAGCGCATGTCGATCCTCAAAGGCTCCAAACCTCGTCGCCGCGTGCTTGGACGAATGGCTCGAAGTGCTCTGGAGTCTTCCGCGTTGTATGGGTCCGCCGTGGTGGGCGCCAACGGGCAGGGGTTAGAGGTTATTAGAGGTGCTGCTGGTAAACTTCAAGACCATCGTATGGATGGTAAATATCGCACCCTGGCTCTGTTGTTGTCCCCTATGCACCGTCTGGACCCCATGTTTAGGGCCGCGTGGTTGCCCGCGAAAGCCTTCCTCCACGCTCTGTGGCACTCCTGGCTTCCTAGGGGCGCCCTGGACTTTGGCCTCCGTGAGGCCCACGATCGGCTTTCGATTATTGAGCACCCTTGGTCTTCCATTAGGGGCCCTTTCAGTGCTGTGTGGGCTACCCTCAAACGTGGTGGGATTACGGCTACCTCGGCTACCTCCTGGACTTGGCCCGATGGGGCCGT